AATCATTTTCCCGCCAACATTTGCTTGCTTGTCAATGCCAGTGTGTATTGGGTGTTTTGAAAGAAATTGTGGGAAAAGTTACTACTTCAATTGCAGAACTTCGCTATGGAGAAAGCGGTGAATTATTTTGGAAGCAAACAGCTCCCGCAAACTAAACCGAAGAAATAATAGTTTCCAGTTTCCACATGTACAAAAGTCTTGTCAATAAACCACTGTCAGCGGCTGTCAACCGTTGTTTTCATACTCTTTTGGCGTCTGACAGTTTGACGCCAGAGAGAGAAGCTTTTAAATTGAAAAGGTCAATAACAATCAAATAAGACCTATACGAAATGCCAATATGTTTTTAGTTTGTGAGTCCGACTAGGCGACTAAATAGAGAACTTGGTTTTGGACAAACCTGCTTTGTGAAGCGTCCCAGTATCTGCATATAGTGTCTTTAGAGCAAACGCGGCGCGTGCCACACCCAAAAACGATTATTTTGAGCTTTCAAAACAAATTTTCTGTACTACCCACATTTTATTTGACATACAAAGTTTTTGGATTTGGTACTTATTTTCCTTTTCCTCAATCGTCAATTATTTGTAAAGAAGATAAACAAATTGAGAGAACGCGTTACTTCCATATAAACGCGTTACTTTCATAGTAACGCGCTACTTTCATAGTAACTCGTTACTTTAACAAAATAACGATCTACAGTTACTTCAGGAAAGTAACGTCGTTACAGTTACTTATCAATCAATCTGGAAAGTAACGAAGTTACCAAGTAACGCGTTACTTTCAGTAACTCGTTAAAGTAAAGTAACTATTTTTTGTCGTTGCTCCCAGCTCTGGTGAGAAATGAGAATTGAAAGGCACCCTACCCTGATAGTCTATAATTTTTTCAGCAGAAAAGCTTTCATGAACAGATTCAAAGTAGTACTGTGCGAAGACATTCGCTATATCATTTGGCTCACTCTTTTTAGTGTACACCCTTAGAGTCTCCCCTTGATCTCACAAACATCCAGAAACTGTTCGGGTCAGTATTTAAATTGTTCTCAAGTGACATTTTCCATAATCCCTGTAAGTTTGAGCTTTGACAATTTTTCTCAGCTGCTGGTATTCAAGTTTATGTTGAAATCCAGCCCTACCCCAAGCGGTTTTTTTCCCTAATAATGTTTCTCACACGTTCTATTGAGAAATACACAGGGCATTTACGTTTATTCAGAGACTTTTTTTTTCATGTTTTTTTTTGGCTCTATCTATATATAACAGAACAATTTTTAGAAATTTGATCTACATCCTGAAAACATAATTAATCTTCTATTAAGATGAACTGACGCGTATAGAACATTATGCCTTTTAGACATTTGCATAGGCCAAATATATTACAGCTTTCATTGGAATGCCTGCTAAACTTTTAAAAATTGTTGTCGATTTCCCATCCAAAGTCAATAATAGCTGGCAGTCCCATTTTTGGTTTCAAAGAGTTTAGTTAAATAGCGGAGCTGGAGTTATTGAAAATTCATGAGAATCGTGCACTTTGTGCCAAGTTTTTGAAATTTGGTATAGTCTTAGGTATGGCTTTAACATTTTAGGAAACCATCGCAAGCTACAGTGATTAAATAAACCTTTACATACAGTGGCGACAATAGAGGTCCCGCCGTTATTTTGTGCCCCATCTCTTGTTAATTTTAAATATGAATACCTATATAGGATTTGAATGGACATCTATGATAAAAAATTGAAAACAACAACTATGGTGCGCTTGTCGATGCGTTAGACCGTCGTTATGGAGATCAACACCAAAGGGAACTTTACGAGGTACAGTAAAGAACAAGGCAGCAAAAAGCTGCAGAAAGCCTACAAGAGTTTGAAACCCGGAAGCAGCAGCACAAATGCGAGAACAACTAGTGCCCGAAAACTGTATAGATGGAGTGCGAGATATGAATGTACAAAGAAGGCTGCTCATAAACAAACCATCAAGTAGCAGCGAATCCTTGATCAAAGCCCTAGAAATTGAAGCCGCATATAAGATATCTAAGCTAAAGATTAGAGCTATATCAATGCAAAAGGAAAAAAAACCAATGAGTCAAATTAAAGACACAATGAAGGAAATTCTTGAACAAATGCGAAAGGTTGGTTTCAGGAGCAATTAAGGGAACTGGCAAGAGGGCATTGAATGTTGTCGCTGCGGTAGAAAGGGACATTTAAAACGTGACTGTGGAGTACGACTAGGATCTCGCTCTCCTTCTGGTAACTCTCAGCCTTCTAAGGAGAACCAGGAAAACTACAATTAGCCAATACGGAGAGGCGGGTGTTAGCTACTGCAAGTGAAGCCCCTGGAATCATACCCATCAAAATACTAGGAAAGACGGCGGAGAGTTTGACTATTGAAGGAATTATTAATGGAAGAAATATCATTATAACAGTGGACACAGGGGTAGCTGATGTATACCACTAAATTCGAAGATTGCCAAACAGTTCAATGCAAAGCCACTTTCAAACAGGTTATTCCACGCACAGTGACTGGCGGGACTGCAAATGAGCATGGAGAAACAGAAATTGACCTGAGATTAGGAAATATCAAGATCTGTCACAAAGGGCTGATTGCTGATATAGAGGATGAGTTTATTTTGGGTATGGACTTGATCAGTCAACATGGTTTTGCATTCGACAACCAGCTCAACATCCTGAAATTTGGCACTGAAGAGTTTGTACTGTCCAAACCCCAAGGGTCCAAGGTCCATCACCGTAAGCCGTAAGAGCTACAAAAACTGTGAAAATGAACGGCAACACCAAACAGATTATATATGGACAGTTGGAGAATGATAATTAACCCATAAAAAATGGTATTACTCAAGATTTTATGTCTTATAGAAGAGAATCTCCTTAAAATACCAATACAGATTGCAGCCATATTCGATTTATAGCTAACAGGCCACCAGAGGCCGCGCACAGGTTGCTTGCGATAGTTTCTTAAAGCCTTAAGACCATACCTAAAACTACATACCAAATTTGAAAGACTTGGCATAAAGTGCACGATTCTTATGAATTCCCCCTATGCTATAATCTTGGTTTGGTAAAAAGCTCTTGACGTGGAACGTCTGTTAGGCGTAGCCTGGATAACACCGTGGAAGAGGCTATTAAACCTTTTATATTAATGACCATTTGCACCAATTATTTAAGGGAAGCCTTAACGATAAGTATTCCCTAAAATTACATTTTTACATGGGAAAATGGCACTTTAAGGGATACTTATCGTTAAGCCTTCCTGAAAATGGTTGGTGACGGCCATAAGAGAGAGAACATCGAATGTTAGCGAACAAGTTTTTTAATATAATTAATCAGATCTTCGGAAAAGTCGCCCGATCAAATCGACCAAATCCATTAAATATTTGGAGTGCTGGAGAAATGTTTTCCAGCAAATCTCTTTTCCCATTTCAGCAAACATAATACCTACATAACAAAATTGAACACCTTCATTTTACCCAAGGATTGTATTGTATGCCAAAGTCAGAAATACGTTAAGAACAGTATGTTTGACAGAGACAGACAAAGCGAAACAATGGAAAATCAACACGCGATTACGCGACGTGACGGTAGATCACCCCGTGGCAGCCGTCTTAATTTATTTGTTTTAATAATGATTGCCATAAGTCGATTATCAAATGACAGAAAAATATGGATGATGTTTTTTTAAAAATCTATATACATTTTAGAAACTATTATGGAGAATTACTTCTTTTGTTTTAAACGCTTGTTTAGCTAATATCGTAGTGTCGCAGTCGCATACTTAGTTTTTTTGGGCCGTAAGCCACAATGCTTTTCACAATTTTTGAAATTATGTATCTTTGTAACTTGTAAATGGACTCTTCGGATTTTGCAATCATATTGTAGTACCTACCTACTCGTTACGTTCTATAGGTACAATGGTGCTCTCTCGTTTTTTGAAAATACTGCCCTTTTGCATGGTCTCATTTTGGATTACCTTCGGTTTTAGAATCTCCAAAATATTACTAATATTAGTTTTTGATACATTATAATAGGTAATTTAGCTTGCGATACTTTGCCACCACACAAATAGCCCCTACTAGTAGGTACTAATACAGAAAAGGGTATAGCTAAGTCCTATATTGTGCATCTTATAGAATCTGGCCATTTTTTGGTAGACCTTCTCAAATGAAATCGCGAGTCCTAACTCCTAAGAGATGGATTTTTTTCGACGCATTCATCAAAACAACTTTATCTACAATATACAGGATGGAAAATAAAACAGTGCAAATTATAACAAATACGGCGACGCGATATCATATCTTTCCAAACATAGGTAGGTACTCTTTGTTTTTTTTTTCTATGTTTTAGAAGAACCAGTAATTCAATAAAATTACAAAGAAAAACATTTTTGTCTTTTTTCGTGTCTCAAAAAGATTTTATTCAGGGAAAAAAATGTATGTTTTTAAGACCAATAATTATGATTGGGTGATCCGTAAGGATAAGTGTCCCATAAAGAAACGGGAGATATTACGCGTCGGAATGCCACCCTGTATGTTGGAAATAGTTTATATTCATCAAAACAATCCCCATATATCTTAAGATTTAACAATGCCCCTTATATGCTTCAAACCGCAATATACTTGACTTGCAATATAGACAAAAAAAAATCGCTAGGCGTAAAGTTTCAGCAGTTTAGAAAAATATCGTCCTCAATATCTGTGCCAACGGATTTGCTTGTATGTACATATCATCATCGAATGAAATTTTCATGCTTGATTTTTTTTTTTCGAAAAAGAGGAAGTTCTTATACAGATTCAGTGTTCAAGCAATTGTCTTTCAGGTTCAGCGGCTCCATCAGTTTTGTTTATTATACAATGCCATATTGCTTTTAAGACCGCTCCCGGGCATTTATTTTATTGTCAGCATCGAATTTTCTATAAATAGATCAACGTTCATTTCCAAATTATATAGCTTTTCCTGTCTGAATTTTATTTTAAATACCATATCAGTCCACTACAACATATTATTGCATGCACACATAAATGATACCATAGTCTTCCTTCAATAACGAAATTGAACTGCAGATTGCAGAAGCGTACTTTTATTGATGACGTATTATAAAGTGATGACGTTTCAATGCTAAAGTTTAAATTTGAATATTTTTAGCTGTGTTTTTAGATATTCTGTGCCAACAAAAATTGTAAACAGTAATAATTGGTGGATCGGTGCTGAGTTTTTATTGAAGTAATGAATTTTGTTACTAGTGTTTTCAAAAAATACATTAATAAGGTAGGTTCCAAGTCAAAAGTAGATTTTTTAAAATCAATAATTCATCTCATTTCATGAGGAAATTTGTAATTAAATTTTTAAATTTAAAATGTATTACAATATAAAAATAATTTTGACTTATAGGATGAAGTTAAAACGCAAAAAAATAGAAAAACTGTCAATGACGCACCAGGTAAGAAAAAAGTATATGCACATAATTCTTTTTGAAATCAAGCAGCTTTATTTTATATTTTTGATGACTAAGGACCGTCTACGGCAGAAGCATCCAAAAAATGTGAAGTAAAAGAGAGTAATTACGTTGCCCCAGCTCCAAAAAAGTGAGTAATTTAGAGATAGGTATCCTCAATTTAACAGGACCCTGATTTTTCGCTTGAAAATAATTGTGTTTAGAACACGTAGGTTGGTATCTTAGAAATGAAACGTAGCTTAGTCCGCTTCTGGAGTCAGTTGTTGTCTTTTGAGTATTTTGGGACCCGTACAATGGGTGGGATTCAATTAGGTAGATGATTTATGTGCCAGTAAATCAAACGATATAGTTTTAAACCTTGTCACCTACCTTGGTCTTGCTGTACTAGACTATATACACTGTGGCCCGAAATAAAGGAGTACATTTTCTAATTGATTTTATTTATTTTTTTGTTGTTTTGTTTTTAGGGCGATTTATTCTCTTTTCACAGGAATAACCCAACACATAAGACGGCAAGATTGGATACCGAAGAAATTTACCTATTTACAGGACCGGAATTATAAAAAAATGTCTTAGCTAGCCCTTTTGGAAGTCAAACTATCCAGAATACTTCAATAAAAACCAAATTCTGCGAATTTCTTGGATATTATATTTTGATTGAAATTCTTTGTGAAATAAATGATAGGTACATTTTAACAAATAACACGACTAAGAAAAATAGTTTAATAATTTATAATTTAGAGCGAAATATTATTGTCACGGATTCCGGGTTCATTTAAAACTCACTTCACAAACAGTAACTACTCTTATTAAACTACATAATTGACATTATTCTTTTCTCGCTTGTCGAAACAAACGACACATAATATGGAATGAAAACTGACTCACTTAAGCAACTACTACGTGCTAGTTATAGAGCAGACAGGTGTACAAGGTATTTATTGATTATACTTAGGCCCATACCTACAGCCTTTACTATTTAGGATGGAAAAAAATTTAAATACAAAACTTGACAGTTTTTTTTTCTATTATTTTCTTTTAACGTTATCAGAAGAAAAAAATCGCTTCGGAAAATGGTAAAACGTAGACACCTTTAACTTTTTTTAATGGAACACCCTCTATATTATGCGATAAAATGGAAGATCTTTCTTCCTGATTCCAAATATATAGGGTGGTCACGGCTTAATGAGAAATATTGACATTTCATTTTCACTTATGACATCAAAAAAATTCTTAACACAACTAACAAAACTTACCGTTAATGTAAGACACAAACGGAAGGAAAGACGTAATTTATTGATTTTCAGAGGTCAATGATTTTCACCAAATTTCATTATTTTTTTACTTTATGGCGGCAACGCGTTAAAGAGCTGGAATTATTCAAATAGAGAAATATATTTCGCGAGTTCAAGAAATTCGATTAATTTTGTTGTTACAGTTTTCTGGATAGTTCACCTACCAACACAGCATATCAGTTCAAATTTAGCTAAAGCAGGTTTCATTTGCAACGAGGTACATGGTGATCTATTATAAATGTCACCCCTTTTTAACTTTTTCATTTGACGTTTTTGACAAAAGTGTCAAATACAAAAGTTTTAAGAAATTGTCGAAAAATTTCAACCAAGTCAGTTTTAAGCATACAGGGTGCGTCAAAAAAGTGTAGCAGTACGAATTTATATTCTTTTGAATGGAACACTATGTATATTATGCGCTTATTTGTTAGTTCTCTTCCACCTGGATCTCAACGATATACAGTTTGATATGTCTATCTTCAATAGTTATAGGGAAAAACATGGAAACCATGTTGAAGAAAGAAAAATTATACCATTTAAGCTCTAGAGAGAATTGTTTATAAACAGTTTATTGTTCAAATGCTATTCACTAATTTACAGGGTGAAATATACTCCTGGACAAAATTATCGCACCACTGCTTATGTGATTCTTATGTGAAGTGGTGCGATAATTTTGTCTAGGAGTATATTATAATAAATCAAGATGTGTTCATTTATTGTTATTATTTAAAAAAAAATATAACATGAGACCTAGGAAGGGATTTTCGCGTTCTTCCCTATAACCATTGAAGATAAACCGAGAGATAAACATATTAAACCGTCTACCGTTGAAATCACGTGGAAGGGGACTAATAAATGAGCGCACAATATAAAGGTCTTCCATTTAAAAAAATACTACTTCGCCCTGCTACACTTTTTTGACGCACCCTGTATGCTCAAAACTGACTTAGTTGAAAACTTTTGACAAATTCTTAAAACTTTTGTATTTGACACTTCTGTCAAAAACGTCAAATGAAAAAATTAGAAGGGGGTGACATTTATAATAGATCACCCTGTACTTTCTTATTTCGAGCCACGGTCTATATAACTGTGTACAGTATGCGATGTAAAAATTATAATTTTTTGATAAGAGTGATTAGTCCAAAAATAATACTATTAACCTAATTTTCCAAAAATACCTCATTTGCTTATTAAGTGAAGGTAAAATTCAATGACAAGAAATTTATAAATTATTTTTAGGCGACTGGTAATAATTAAGACTAAACACACATTTGTAATTTTTTCAAAATTAACGTTTTCCAACTTAAAACGGAAAAGTTTCAAAGTTCTGCATAATATAGTCTATTTGATTTTGAGAGAGAGCAATAAAACTTAATTTACTTTATAATTTCCTATTTGTTTTATGTATAAATATTTTTGCTACCGAAGGAATTTCCCATGCTATTTAAACCATACAAGTAGGTAAAGTTTGTTTCACCAGAGTGTGTACTTCTGACATCGACGATGTCATAACTTGGGGAAAACCACTGATCTCAAAAATAAATGGATAAACAAAGGACGCTTCTTATGCTGCTAATTTACGAGGTCATAATGTAAACAAAAACAACTGACTGGGACAGCTGTGAGCGTGCGTAGTAGATACATGTACTGTGCGAGCACAGAATCTGGCCAATGAAAACGAAGGAATTTCAAAATTTGGAACAGTTGTTCGAAAGATAAGACACTGCGCAGGCGTTATGCCTCATTCTCACTTGGGCGAAATTCGCTCTTTTTTTGACATTACTTTGACAATTTGACGTTTTATGCGTGTATCAAACGTCAAATTGTTGAAGCAATGTCAAAAAAGAGCGAATTTCGCGCAAGTGAGAATTAAGCTTAGGCTGTTCCGTTGCACAACTGTTCATAGAATATTGACCCCAACACAGCATATCGAATCAAATTTAGCTAAAACAGGTTCCATTTGCAACAAGGTACATGGTGATCTATTATAAATGTCACCGCAGAAACCTTATGAGAACTGGCCCTCAGTGGAATCTCATGAAATTTTGCATATTGATAGTTCTTGACCCATAGATTAAAAGTGTCCATGGGCACAAAGTTCTAAAAATTCGCTTTTTTGAGTTAGAGTCGCTTGAAGTTGCGTCATATGTGAAATTGCTCAAACCTTATGCAGTCTAGTTTTTTCGGTTACTTCGTGAATTTTAGAACGACATATGCATAGTATAATATACTCCTGGACAAAATTATCGCACCACCACTGCACATAAGCACCATAAGCAGTGGTGCGATAATTTTGTCCAGGAGTATACGTTCCAAATTATTCGATTCCAGAAATGGCGAATTTTAAACCATAGACGTCTTAAGAGGGGTTTAAAAATAATGATGGGTAAATAGGTAATGAGGTGAGTACATGTAATAAAGGTACATGTTTGATACTAAATTGATGAAGGAACATTAAATTCAGTAGAAAATAAAGCATTGTATGCACCATTCGAAAAAAATCAACCCACTCGCTAGGACTCGTAAGTTAAACTTTCTTCTCATGGGTAAACATTCATTTAACTCACTTGGTGTATAAATAACTATTATTTTATAATTATTTTTAACCCCTCTTAAAGGGGGTGTGACCCAAAAATGAAAGTTTTAGTGCAAAAAAATCTAAGAATAAATATTTAAACTGCATCCTGCTACGATGGTCCGTTTCCGAGTTAGGGCGGTTTGAAGTTACCTACAACTAGGTGGTTGTGACGTCACACTGGATTATCAGAGACAGTATTAACACATGTAAGAATTTTCCAAAACAAAAGACAATTATCTCCTAGAGCGAATTGCAACCACTGAAATTATAGGGTACGGTTCACTGACGACTGAACGAACAGAAGACTGCGATTTCGGCGGTTATGACATCACAAGTTCTTGCATAATTCATCTTCACAAGGAATTTTCTCGGATACTATTTTGAATATGGGACTGCGGTTTTCACGATCTTAGAATTTTTTTCTTGATTTAAGTAACTTAAGTCGGTTTTTAGGGTCATACCCCCTTTGAGACGCCTATGACTTAAAAGTGGCCATTTCAGGATTCGTATAATTTAAAACGTATTATACTACAATGATACTATGATGTTCTAAAATTCACGAAGTAATAATTCATCTTCACAAGGAATTTTCTCGGATACTATTTTGAATATGGGACTGCGGTTTTCACGATCTTAGAATTTTTTTCTTGATTTAAGTAGCTTAAGTCGGTTTTTAGGGTCATACCCCCTTTGAGACGCCTATGACTTAAAAGTGGCCATTTCTGGATTCGTATAATTTAAAACGTATTATACTACAATGATACTATGATGTTCTAAAATTCACGAAGTAACAGAAAAAACTAGACTGTATAAGGTTCGAGCAATTTCACATATGACGCAACTTCAAACGACTATAACTCAAAAAGGCGAATTTTTAGAACTTTGTGCCTATGGATACTTTTAATCTATAGGCCAAGAACTATCAATATGCAAAATTTCATGAGATTCCACTGAGGGCCAGTTCTCATAAGGTTTCTGCGGGGTCCTTTTCGCACAAGTTTAGCCAATCGAGCCGTACGATTGTTTATCCGTTTATTTTTTAGATCAGTGGGAAAAACCCAGGAAAACCCATTTAGAAAATCACAATACTCTGAACTATTAAGTTTCTGCAGCAACACTATTATTAATCAATGGGGCGGGGGCTTCATTCTACTTCATTATATTATTTTCCCTTTTTTAATTTTTCTTAAGGTGGGTTTGAACCGAAATTTACTTACTCACCTTAATTTAAGAAGTATAATACATAATATATAGTTTTGCCTTAAACTCCTAGCCTGAAATATAAAATAAACACATTTTTCCAAATGGATAAATAGGTATACGTTTTGCAATTTGCCTGACAGACTATACATTATTGTAACATAATGTATTTACGATTTTATCTTGCTTGAATCCAAAAATGTTTTTGCTTAATGCCTAAAAAAAAAGTGCCTAAGTATTAAAATTTTGTTTCAGTGAACCTCAAGGTCCTGCTCCTTTAAGCGACGAGGAAGATTGTTTTCAAGATGCCCAGACAATGTCATCTAATATCACAAACGACCAGAAAAAGTTATCGGTTTTGGAAGTACCCAGCAACCAAGGATTGAATATTACCAAAAAACATCCATTTGACAATAGTATAGTAAAGATTTCAGACCCCCAAGAAACCCCTGTTGAAAGCCTAAATAATACAATTGAGATTTTTCAACATGATGACTGTCAGCCAGTTCAAGATAAATCTGGCGATGTAGCTCTCGACAATCTTGAAGTCAATCAAGCTGCTAAATTTGTATCACTGAATGACATATTATTTGATTCACCTTATAAACTTGATACAAAATTGCCCAGAGAGAATGTAAAACCACGAATTGAAGCAAATATTGACACACCAAAAAGTGCCTTGGGAGTGTTGATACAAAATGTAAATGAAGCTTTTGTGTGTACTCCAGATACCACATATAAAAATCATGAAAAGAATGATAAAGTGCAAATTGAACCGATAATGGCACAAGAAAATTATTCGGATGAAGAAAATTCCAAAGCAAGCCAAGATGAAGAAGTAGAAACGCAAAAAAGAAAATGCGAAGATGTTGAAGAGATAGTGAAAAAACTAAAAACAGATAAATATCCAGATGTTGTGAGAGTGCAAGAAAATATTGAAAACCAAAATGCACCTGAAAAAACTATTAATCAATTTGTATTAAAGCCTCGCGAGACTCAAGATATGGACACTTGCAAAATACAAATTGGAGAAAATGGTAATCATATCAAATTTAATGAAATAACAAATAATTTAGAGTTCAAAGAGAGTAACAATAATACGAGAGACAATGAAATTGTAGAATTAACGCCTGAAGCTGCTAATCGTTCTCTGGAAGAACATAAAAATGAACTGAAAACTGAGATTGAAATAACTAGTTCTGAACAGATTACAAAAAATACTGGAGAACAAGCAGAAGAAAATCAAGGAACTAAAACTAATGTGATGGAAAGTAAGGAGAATACGGAAATATTGAAACAAGAAATGGATACAGATAGTAGATTGTTGGGTAAAAGTGATATTGACAACATTAAAGAAGAAGACACTCAAAAAAATCAAATAATTCAAAGTATGGAATCATACCATAATGAAAAAGAGCTAATAGATGATACATTTGTAGAACATAAAAATAAGGAAGACAAATTACAGCAAGAAGGGGACTTGGCAAATGTTCCTTTGATTAAAGAATTTTCTTTTGAAAAGCTTATGCCAGAACAAAATAAGAGCTCGGTGGAAATTCAAAACCAACAGGCTCAAGCAAACCTAGAAAATTTAGTGCCACAAAAAGAGGATTTGTCAACAACAAAAGAATTAGTTAACTCTTTAGGAAATTCAGAAAGTATCAATAAAATTAGTGACGATAAGACATTGAAACAAGAAGGAAATAAAGACAATACTTATGACTTGGTAAATGCTCCCATAATTCAAGAAGATTCTTCTAAAAAAGTTATGCAGGAACAGAATAAGCGCTTGGAGGAGATTATAGACCAACAGACTCTGGCAGAAAAATTGGTGCCACAAACAGAAGATTTGCCGTCAAAAAAAGAATTGACTATTGACAACGACACATCATTGGAAAAAATAGAAAATAAAGCAGATACTTATGACTTGGTGAATGCTCATATAATTCAAGAAGATTCTATTGTGAAAGTTATGCTTGCACAGAATACAAGCTTGGTGGAAATTCAGAACCAGGAGTCTAAGGGAAACCTAGAAAGTTTAGTAGCACAAAAAGAGAATTTGTCATCAATAAGCAAAGAATCAGTACCATCGTCAACAAATCCAAAAAGTAATGAATTATTAAAACAAGAAAGAATTGAATTGCAAGATACTTATGAAAACTTCCCAAGTTCTCCTATAACAATTCAAGAAGATTCTTCTGGCAGAGTTGTGCTGGAAAAAAGCTTAGTGGAACCTGAAAGCTCAAATTACCAAAATTACCCAGAATTAATGAAAAATCAAGAATTCCCGATCGACGAAAATTTAAATACTAAAACAGATGCTATTAACAAGCTAACTGAAGAATTAGAACAGCCACAAGCAAATTTCAAATTAGATGCAACAGAAAACATTGAGGAAAATTTAACAGAAAAAATTAGAAAAGATTCAGAAGTAGTAGTCGCGAGTGCACCAAAATCAATTTTAGATCTTGCCAAAGGGAAAAATTATGAACAAAACTTGCAGAAACCAAAATCCGAAAGTATAGTTACAACAATTCAAAATTCTTTAGGAATGCATTCCCAAGAAGACGAACAAGGTGGCAATAAGACATTTGATAGACAAGATACAAAGGAATTTGAAAAATTAGAAAGGGAATGTAAAATTAATTTCAAGTCGGACGCAACCATAGATGAAGAAAATGTAATAAATAAACCGACAAATTTTGGAAGGCAAGATACGCAAGAATTCGAAAATTTAGAAAAAAAAATGGCAATAAATGAGGAGAAAAACCTATTGTTAACCGATTACATCCTTGATGAACTAGTAGCAGAAAGTAAAACAGATAAAAAAGATGATCAATGTGTAATCACCCCACATCTAGACAGTGAGACCCAAATATCAGGTTTTGAGAAAGTAAAAGAGAGTGATACTAAAATAGTAGGTGAATACAAAAAAACCTTCTCAAGACAAGATACTTTAGAATTTGAAAAACTGGAAAAGCAATGTACAGAAGTGGCATGTTTGGACGTGCTTGACGAATTAGTTGCGCAAAGTACAATGGACAATTCTATTAGTAATACTAAGCTTATAGAATCAATTACGTGTGAATTAGTTTCTACCCCATGCAACAAAATTAATGAAAATGCTTTCGAAAAAACCATGGAAGAAAATAAGAGTGGACAAGAACAAACAGTTTTAGAAGCCCCACATCAGAACAACAAAACGACATTTTTGGAAATACATTTACAGAGCAAAAATGCAGGTAAAAATCAAGGAGAAACCAAAAGCAATCCTGAAGAAAAAGATGATAATGGTAAAAATAAATTATTACAAATACAAGTACATTCAGTGAATAAAAATAAGCAGCAAAACCAATTATCCAAAGTTGAGCCTCAAAAAGAAGAAAAATATAGAACTGTTGATGAAGAGCTAAAAAATAAAGTTGAGGATTTACAGCTGGAATTAGAAACTATTAGAAAAATGAATAGGCGTAAAGAAAAATGCATTGCCACATCAAAGGTAGAGAAGGAAGAAAGTGGAAATGTTATTTCAAAATACAAGTAAGTTGTTTTGTACCCGTTAGTTGATTCAATGAATTTTAAAATTTTCAGAAATATCATAAATGAATATGAAAAGCACATAGTCCAACAGAACACTGATTTGGAAAAGCTGAAAATTGAGAACGAGAGGAATATGAGGCACTTTACAAACACTGAAATGGCCTTTTCTGATGTTTTCGAGTGTGTATTTTAAATATTATTATTAGAACTGATCAAAATATTCAATGTTTCTAGGAAATACGAAAAAGCTAAATATGTCATAGCAGCCTATGCCAAAAATGAAGATATCCTATTGGAAAATTTGCGAAATGCTGAAGAACAACTAACAGAAACAGAAACTAAATGTGTGGCAATGAAAGAACAATCTTTCAAGCAAATTAAGCAGTAATTACGATTATTTTATGGAAATATTATTTTGTAAATTCAAAAAATTTTTTTTTCTAGAGCTAAACAGCATATTGAATATGAAAAACAAAAATACAATCAAGAACTAGCCAAACTACAAGGCCAAGTCAAGAGATTAGAAATTAAAGCAACATCTCTCGAGGTTGCCTTGAAGCAAAAAACAGATGAATGCCAAGCACTTGCGAGTTTGTGTGATGATATTACTGGAAGACATTCAACATGAGTTCAGTATTGGATATGGAATCAAAATTGAAATTTATAATGTGATATTCCTTATAAAATGCTGGTTACTTTTTAAGAATGTTTAACATTTTCTGTCTTTATGGTTTGTCATTACAATTTATAATAAAACAACTTAAGGTTTAATTGTCTTTGATTTAATTCTGTAGATTTACAATGTTAAATCTTTAAAATGTAACAAATTACAAAAATACAATTATTAGATAATATATCAGTAGAAATCTAGTAAAAAAAAACATGAAAATTTGAATATAGGTAATACATACATAAAGATAAGTAGATTAGAGATTCTTTAAAATTTATTTTTCTTAAATAATATACATTTGTATTGACTACAAAGTCATTTTATTAAGTAGAAAATATGGACGGAAACACATAAGTAACTGAAATCTGAATATTGAAACATGAACCAAGTTCAATAGTCATTTTGAGAAAGAATGGAATATAGCAACATCAAAATGTCAAATGTATCAATACATTATTCAACTCAATTTTTATCTTAGTTTGTGGCAGTCTCAGTTATATTAAGTTTATTCATCTTCCGATAAATTTACTGGTAACTGTCTACAAGCTAAATTCACCTATCTATAATCCTATTAGTCGGCGGATAACTAGCCAACCAAATAAGACTATAGATTATTGTGGTTTTATCCGACAGACTGCATTACCTGATAGTTTACCAAAAGGTGAATAAACCGGGTCTTACGCCGGGCACAGTCATGCCGTACCTGGCGAATTGCGATTCACCTAGCAACTCGTCCAATTAATTGGTACCTGTTTGGCGAGCGAGTTATTCACACAGTGTAGGTGCCAGAAAATTGTAGGGTATGAGAACAGCTTCGTCGTCATCTCCTTTGTCAGAGTAAAATACCAATAACTGATGGGAAAACACCGAATAGCAAATATTTGTCTGAGCAACCCAGACACACTGCTGAATAGAGATTATTTGTTATTCAGGATCGCCAAATACCTCATGAATGTGCCCAGCTTAAGAGGAATAAATCTAAAGCAAAAAATGGACGCTGCTGGGATGGTATGATCTTTCCATTAAAATATTTTAACATAAATATTTCCAGCCTGCCCCTGTTCCATACAAACATTTTTCATTAAAATACTCGCCCTATAATGAGTCCAACAACTAGCGAAAGCACAGACTTTCCAATTGCAGTTGCATCAGACTAAAATTGTAAAAAATAAGTTAGGTCAATAGTGGTAAAATGCAATAATACTTACAATAATGTAATAATTACACCTGTCTCCTTTACAACACTCCGAACATTTCCAATCCTCGTACCAAATATGGGTGCAAGTTGCCATATTATTGCTTCTAAATTTCTCACACTTATCTTTGGTAGCACATCTTTTGGAGACAAAGTATTGCTTAAGGGCACCTAGAAAATATAGCATTGTAATTATTCTAGTCAAAAGCTTGGTAAATTTGCAATAAAAGTTTTTATTAAAATCCAGACGAGAAGCAGAAGTGATAAAAGGGTTGAGATAAAATACTACATAGTTCGTTTTGCTGATGTTAAGCGTAAGTTGAAATTTGTCCAAAACTGTTTTAATTTTTTCTAGGCCCAAAATAAGAAAGTGTTTAGCTTCACCCCAAAAATTTCCAGAAAAAATATAGGCCAATACTTGTTCCTCCTCTATGTAAATGTTGTAAAATGCCATAGGTAGGCTGACTAAGAACATGTTCAATCTTGACTTACTGGGTACAACCCACTAAGTAGTTTTTGATCTCTTCTAACACAGTACCCCTCACACCATACTGGTCTAAAGCATTGAGAAGTGTGGGGGAGCTTGTCAAAAGCCCACGCTAAATCCAAGAAGACTGTCAATGTTTTTCTAACCCTTGTCCAAAATTTCTATAACTTTTGTCAGTTTATACATTGCATCGGCTGTGCTAAAGTAAGTTTCCAATAAGGCCAAATTGATTTGGAGATATAGTTTGATTTATATTCAGGAAGTTGCTGAGTCCTCGGTCGAGTCTTTCCTTCCAGCACTTTTCAAATAAGTTACAGTTAATGACACTTATGGGGCAATAATTATTTACTTGCAAATTTCTGGAATTTTCATAGATGGGTGTCATAACCAAAATTTTAATTTTAGAGAGGACATGGGGGAATCCAGTGGGACATGTCCAGTTTTAAAGCAAGCGTTCATTATAAATATGTTCATTTAAGTTTTTTAATACTTTCGTCAGCTCGTTAGTCAGTATTCCAAGGCAACAATTATTTTTTAAACTCTTCATTGGTTTTTTCTGATATTTTTGGGCGGATATTGAAATAGTGCTCATTACAAAAGTCAGCAATTTCTTTAATTTAAGTATGTCATAATGTTATCATTATTTAGTATTTGTAACTCGATTTGAAATTAAAAAGGCTCTGTTCTAAGTGACATGACAACCGTACCAGAACCAGTGATTTCCAGTAGCCCACCTATTTTTCAATAAGTTGAACGTTTATCCCACTTGACAAATGAATTGATCAACTGGAAATTACCGTTCTAGAATGGTTCTCATGTCAGTTGGAATAGAGCTCATTGTTGCTTTTAATGTTGGATTTGGATTAATCTCGGGATTAATTAGAAGTAAGGCGGCTGCTAAAACCTCGGCTAAAACTAAAACGATAACAAAAAATAGATAAAACAAAATAGATAAATAAATAATACAAAAATAAATAAATAGGCTAGATGGCACACATAACTCACAGCAATTGGGCTCAAACCTTAGCTCAAACATAATGGTGTGTATCATCCTCTAGTCAATTTTTTGATTGAAGTTTGAAAATATCTAAGTATGTTATACTTCTCTAAGATATCGCTACACTCTATCAGGATATGGCTGAGCGGTGAGAAACTTGATTGGTTTATCACAAAAATGTTGTAATTCCTTAGTCTAAGGTTAATTTTAGGAACATGAAATTTGATTAGATTAATAAATTTACAGTCTGTATACATATTTAGTATTATTGACTATATGGAAAACGAGATGGAAAATAAAAAGTAAGGATTGAACTGCCCTTCTACTAAGATACTGAAGCTTGAAGGTCACCAACATACTTCCATAAGACACTAGCAGAGGAAATATATGTTATGCATGATATTGTTTCAAATACAACTAGTTATCTCAAAAATTTCTTTTGGACTCTTTCTATCAAGTCTCTATTGCAGTCAGCTGTAGATGACCAGATACTACATGCATACTCCAAGTATGGCCTGACAAAAGCATTATAGAGGTTTATCAAGGTATTAATTTTATGAAAATGTTTGATATTTCTAGTGATGAAGCCCAAGGCCCTAAATGCCCTGTTAACAATTTTCTGATAGTGCAAATTAAATTTCATGTTGGATTGGAAAGTGACTCCCAGGTCCTCATAGTGGTCCCTTCTTGTGAGCATTTCAGCATCCAGATTATAACTGTATTCTAGATATTGACGACGCCTTCTGTACATCATACAGAAGCATTTACTGACATTCAAAAACATTTTGTTGTCATCAAACCAGGCACTTAAAATGGATAAATCATTCTGGTTTTGAAGAACCTGACAATCTGCCTGGGAATAGACCAATCTGAAGATCTTCAAGACATCAGCAAACAACAAACAGTCAGAATTTTTGAATACAGTCAGGTAGGTCATTTACTCATTTATGAATATTGCAAAGAGTAGGGGAGATAAATTGCTGCCATGAGGCACACCAGAGCTGCCAAAATATTGCTCAGATAGTTCCATGCCAATGCGAACAGAGTAGAGCCTGTATGACAAATAAGACTTCATATAAGTTTGAAAGATTTTTTATTCAATCCTGTAAAAATCAATTTTTGGAGAAGTAGGTGGTGATCAACCTTATCGAATGCCTTCTCTGTATTGTGTAGATCACATCCAACTGCAAAACTACTATCAATCATATAGTACTACTTTTTTTATGTCATTCATGTTTTGTTATTTTCCTTCTCTATTAATTATTCTTTGTTGCTGATATTATTTTTCCATTCGTTATCCACAGTTTGATCTTTTTATATTCATGTTCTTTAAGTTGTAAGCTAAATAATGACTCACCTTGTTGCCAGTATGGGGTGCTACCCCATCGAATTTCAGACAAACAAACCTCCTCTCCATAATTGCAAGTTTGTATAGTGGTTAAGCATTTTCCTTTATTGTCTTCTTGATTATCGCACACATAACATTCTAGAGCTTTAGCTAAAAAAGAGAACATTTTATTTAATTCTGGTTAATTTTTGAATATTCAACTTACAAAAGTGCGTGGATGATAATAAAATACTGTAAAATAAACATAAGTCGATAAAAGTGTTGTGGTGCATTGTTAATTTTATAAATTTTAATGGTTATTTATTTTTAAATTCTTCAACAGAAAATTCACCACTAGAACAAACAAAAAGGAAAAAACAAAACACAAACATGACGACATTTGTCATTAGTGTCATAGAAATAAACGACACACCTTTTTGTTGTATTCCGTTCACACGAGGAGCTCCGGAACAGCTCCGGGGCGTTACCCGCTCCTTGACGCGCTTATTCCTTTCGAAAAGTGTTTGCTGCACGAGTGCTCAAGCCCGTACTCAATCATTTGAATCGAATATAAAGGGCCCCATACACTACGATGAAACACGACGGTTTGCATCGCCACGGTGAAACACGTCGTTCTAAAACCGAAGTGTGTAATAGAAAAACACGACGGTTTTCTACAGGGCCCCACAGACTACGATGAAACACGACGGTTTTCATCGCCACGAGGAAACACGTCGTTCCAAAACCGAAGTGTGTGGTAGAAAACCGTCGTGTTTCATCGTCGGTTTAAAATTCAGTCCGAGCTTGATTTTTGGCACGACGGTTCGACATTTTATTACACACGAACGGTTTTCTACCACACACTTCGGTTTTGGAACGACGTGTTTCCTCGTGGCGATGAAAACCGTAGTGTTTCATCGTAGTCTGTGGGGCCCTAAAACCGTCGTGTTTTTCTATTACACACTTCGGTTTAAGAACGACGTGATTCACCGTGGCGGTGAAAACCGTCGTGTTTCATCGTAGTGAGTAGTTATAAGGGCCCCATACACTACGATGAAACAAGACGGTTTTCATCGCCACGATGAAACACGTCGTTGTAAAACCGAAGTGTGTTATAGAAAAACACGACGGTTTTCTACAGGGCCCCACAGACTACGATTAAATACGACGGTTTTCATCGCCACGATGAAACACGTCGTTTCAAAACCGAAGTGTGTGGTAAGAAAACCGTTCGTGTGTACGAAATGTTGAACCGTCGTGCCAAAAATCAAGCTCGGACTGAATTTTTAAGGGCCCCATACACTACGATGAAACACGACGGTTTTCACCGCCACGATGAAACACGTCGTTCTAAAACGGAAGTGTGTAATAGAAAAACACGACGGTTTTCTACAGGGCCCCACAGACTACGATTAAACACGACGGTTTTCATCGCCACGATGAAACACGTCGTTCCAAAACCGAAGTGTGTGGTAGAGCCGTTTTACACGGCAAAGTTTCTTGACGAAATTACTTACGAAATTATTACCGAAATATTTCGTAAGTTTACTATTCTTGGTTTCGCTTTTTCCTGTTTGACACGGCAAATGAAATTTAGCAAAAGTTTTATGAAAATATTAGTCATACGCCGGCGCAGTAACGTTTTGCCATCAATAATATGAAATCATAACCTCATGGCTCATACGTTGGTAAACCAAAACAAATAAAACTTGCGTTTTCTAATTGTTGTTGAATCTTTGTACCTACTCTTCTACACTTTTATAAAGTTGAATTTCTGTTTCCCTTCTATAAATAAAGTTTTGTTTACTTTTGGCTTTGCCCTACGGAAGCGCTGGAGGATCAAGTTGAATTTTTTTTTTTAAGTCGACCGGTCGACTTTTTAAGTCAGCCGGTCGACTTATTAAGTCGACTTATTTATGTCGACTTATTTATGTCGCCTTATTTATGTCGACTTATTTATGTCGACTTATTTATGTCGACTTTATGTCAACTTATTTATGTCGACTTATTATCTGGACCGCTTGAACTTATAGGTCTGGACACAAATGACCGCACCGAGCCCACACCAAGTTCATGCAGCAGTAGCACGGCAGTGTGTCGTTCAATAAGGTAGAAACCACACATTTTCAACACACGGCTGCATGACGGTCGTACTACGAGTGCGGTCGGTAGTTTGTCACTTAGAAGTGTGTGTGTGGAAAACTGGAAAAAACTAAAATGTTTGCCAGCTTCAGCTTCACCAACAGCGAATTGGCAGCAATAGGCAGCTATTGCGTTGGACGATGCGGAAAATTAGACAAATATGCCAAAACGACGAAAAATTTGGGCTAGTTTCTCTTTTTGTACTGAAAAAATACTGAGAGTCCGTCCTGCAACGCACCGTGCCCGTGAAAGATTAAACCAAATTTATCTCGCATTGATATCAGTGCGGAAAATTGATTTTTCCGTAGGGCTGTAGGAAAAAGTAATACCGATCCTGTTTTAAAGTCTCGACACACATGACCGCACCGTATCCGTACCGAGACACGGTCGTGTCTCGCTGATAAATTGATAAAATGATTGTAAATACCGTGTTTTCTTATGTCGTAGTCTTCACATCCATGAACCGTGCCCGCGCCACCGCACCGCGTCCGTACCGTGCGAGATAAGTTTGGTTTAATTTTTCACGGGCACGGTGCGTTGCAGGACGGACTCTCGGTATTTTTCGACGTTTTGGCATATTTCTCTAATTTTCTGCATCTTCCAACGCAATAGCTGCCTATTGCTGTTAATTCGCTGTTAGTGAAGCTGGCAAACATTTTAGCTTTTTCCAACCACACTCCCAACTGACAACCTACCGACCGCACTCGTAGTACGAGTGTACGACCCAGGGTTGCCAGATCTATGAAATGAAAAAGCGGGACTGTTCTTATCCAGAGGAATTTTTTTTCCGGGTGTCACGCCCAAAAGCATAAGGGAGGGGGAGGGGCAAGCGCCCAATGTGTCCCCCCCCTATGGACCCCCTTGAGCAACAGGGAAAAGCGCAACAAATTTTTTGGAGCCACGCCCAAATTTTGTTAAGAATTCAACCAAAACTCGACCAAAAAAAATGATCCTTTATTAGATACCAAAATAAACGCTTCACGATAAAACAACAGTAAACATCATTATTTATACGCTATATAGAGTGGCAAACAAGTAGCGCATAATACCTGTAACTTTTTGTTTTGTATGAAAGAAGGTCCTAAAAAGCAGAGATTGTATGCACTACTTTTTTGCCACTCTGTATGTTTTGCTTTTATCACATTATATAGCTAGATATATTTTATCACTAGTGACGAAAGTGACGTTTTCGGCTAAGGTGAAATATGACGAAACTGGTTTATTTTCTAACGGTCATAGAAAAAATGATTTTTGACGAAAAGTTGTTTATTTTTCAATGGCCAGAAAAAAAAATTCTGCAGATGCTAGTTTGTTTGTGCAATGAATGATATACATACAACATTTATCTTTAAGAGAGGCGTCAGATAAGAGCCAGCGCGCCATCTTTTGGGCTTTATGACATACATTAAATATTTTTTAATCACAGGTGTTCAAATTCTCTGTAAGTGATTGACTTATTTACAAGTAGATGGCGACATCTTCACTATCAATTCGTTCACACAGTAATTTACAGTGGACTAATGGCCGTTTCCACCAACTATTTTAGGGGAGCCCTAACGATAAGTATTCCCTAAAATGACATTTTTACATGGAGAAATGTCAGTTTAAGGCATACCTATCGTTAGGGCTTCCCTAAAATAGTTGGTGGAAATGGCCATAAATAATTTCATTCAGATGCAAATGAAATAATAGAATTTCACATTTTTAGCTAGGTAAAACAGTTTTTACTGGCGTTTGAAAGAAGTGACTACCCTTCCCGAACTCAGCGACATCTTTTAGAGAAGCGCTGAACACACGTTTGGTTTGAGTCTTTGCTAAAAATGACAGCAATCACCTCGTTGTTTGGCAGATTTTGATTAATTTTGTGATACAAACATTATAATATTCGAAAATTCTGTCCTATTCATTTTTTCCAGCATTTTACTATCCGAAATTTTGGAAATTTATTGTTGGTGTGCTACTCTAGGTATTCGTCCCTTTTTCATTTAAATCTATGACCAAAATTTGCATATTGTTGTCAACAAAATTAGTAATAATTTTACTTTTTAAACTGCGTATGTTGCAACCAAAAATGCTTCGACTTATAATCTAATCTATTATTGTTATGAACATAACTTCATTTCACTCAATAGTGGTCTAAATTTGGAATTGAACAGAAATTTGTAAAGGTCTGTAAATGACATTTTATTTAAACGCCCCTCTTAAAAATCAAGAATCGTAAACTAACAGGATTGCTCATCTTGAGAAAGCGTATATTCGCCGGTTCTCGAGTCCACAAGGTCTGCGAGTGACGTGACCACGTCAGCAGCCAATAGTGGTGACGTCACCCGCAGACCTCGATTAAATGTTTGCGATTCAGCTCGTTATTTGATTTTTGCGTCGATTTTAAATGTAGAAATAGCTATTTATGTAACAAGTTGTAAAATAGGCGTGTTTTTTGCACTAAATGTGAAGATTGTGTGGAAAAAGCGGGAAAACCGGGACAATTCACGTGAAAAGCGGGACCTAAAATTAATAAAAAAAAGGCGGGATCGATTAACAAAATGCGGGACTGTCCCTCCTAAGGTGGGACGTCTGGCAACCCTGGTACGACCGTCATGCAGCCGTGTATTGGAAATGTGTGGTTTATACCTTATTGAACTGACACTGCCGTGTTACTGCACGGACTTGGTGCGGGCTCGGTGCGGTCATTTGTGTCCAGACCTTTACTAGTTCAAGCGGTCCAGCATAAATAAGTTGACATAAATAATAGTCGACATAAATAAGTCGACATAAATAAGTCGACATAAATAAGGCGACATAAATAAGTCGACATAAATAAGGTGACATAAATAAGTCCACATAAATAAGTCGACTTAATTTTTAAAAAAAATTCAACTTGATCCTCCAGCGCTTCCGTATTGCCCAGCTGGTCTTCTCCCTCCCACATTATTTTTTAGGGCGCAACACTTTTTTTGACCGGTTGACCCACCGATAAGCAGTCTATCTATATTTATTACATAGGAAATCCAATGACAGATTCGTAAGGCTCGAAGAAAAAGAATGCGCCTTTTATTTTGTAATTGTGTGCGCCGAAACTCACGCATTTTCTCGGCCGCGCCCACAAAAACTATAGAACATTTTCGAAAGTTTATTGGCGAAATATTTCGTAAGTTTTTCTTGTCGTGTAAAACAGGAAAAGTTGACTACGAAATATTTCGGCAACAATTTCGTAAGTAATTTCGTGAAGAAACTTTGCCGTGTAAAACGGCTCGTAGAAAACCGTTCGTGTGTATGAAATGTTGAACCGTCGTGCCAAAAATCAAGCTCGGACTGAATTTTTAAGGGCCCCATACACTACGATGAAACACGACGGTTTTCACCGCCACGATGAAACACGTCGTTCTAAAACCGTGTGTAATAGAAAAACACGACGGTTTTCTACAGGGCCCCACAGACTACGATAAAACACGACGGTTTTCATCGCCACGATGAAACACGTCGTTCCAAAACCGAAGTGTGTGGTAGAAAACCGTCGTGTTTCATCGTCGGTTTAAAATTCAGTCCGAGCTTGATTTTTGGCACGACGGTTCAACATTGTACACACGCAGCAGCATTTAAAGATCGAGGAGATCGCATAAACGAGCTATCAAAAAAACAACGGAGGATGTGAATTAGATGCCTCAAAAGGTGAGATTTGACTGTAACGTTGTTGAAAATGCTCGAATTTTTTCGAAACATTTTGTTAATGGTAAGTTTTATGACTGTTTTGTTGTTAAAATACAAAAACACTTCATCTCGGTATATCAAAAAGTTGTTTATGTTTCTACAAGTAGAGGTAACTTTCAATACCTTTTATAGGTAGTCCAGCAGAATTTAAGGATACAAACAATCCGGATTGGGTCCCCAATGCAAATTTAGGATATACTACGATAATAGATAAAAGCCCAGAATGAACAAGCCAGTAAGCTAAGCTACATGCCAGATCTGTGCACCAATCAGAACAGTCAAAACGTTTAAGGAGTCATTGTACCACAAATTTATTTTGCTAAAGTTTATTTGTAAGGTTGTTAGTATCAAACTTTTTTATTTTTTAAACAATTTAGATTCTTAAGCATTATTTTTGTTAATAAATTGTTTGTTTACTATTGTTGAGTTGAAATGTAAAGTGGCATGTCTGTAAATAAAGATTCATTCATTCATTCCATTCATTCACAAAAACTAAAAACAACTTAAAACTTATTGAACAAATCAAAAAACGCAAATATTCCGAAGCACAAACTCAAAAAACACTGTAAACTGATCTATAGGCTTGTTTGCCCCTCAGCTAATATGGCGGACCTGTCAAAAGTCACGTGACCTGGAATGCCTGGCTGCGTTCAGATTGAACGTCGGTTGTCGCCCGAGCGCGCTCTGACCGTTCAGATTGCTTTGGGTAAAATTTACCTAGCCGTTCAAATTGTCAGTAGATTTTTACCTGACGACACCCCGACGCACACTTTGGCATCTCATAAAATAGTAAGATAAAATTTGCCCCGCATGCGCGTTTGTGTTATGTTTATGTTCTAACCAATAATAAAGGCAAATATTGTAAATATTATTGTTGGGAGTTATGGCGAGTTTATCCAACAAATAAAATAAAATAGGAAATAAATTAAAATAAGAATTAGGGGTTAAGAGGTATTATTTTATATGTGATAAGTTCTACCAAAAAAATCAAAATAAAATAAAATAAGAGTTGATTATCTTTGAATTTTCTTTTTTCTTATTTTACAAAAATGTTAGAATCACGAACACAGTGAATTTTGAAAAGGCAACAAAATCAAAATCAAAGCATCCCATAAATAGTGATGTTATGAGGAGAGAATGCGTTTTGGCCGTTCAGATTGGGCGAATCGCCAGGCACACTCGGAGTGCACTCTCTATCGGGTACGCTCTGCACTGGACGTCGCCCAGACTCTTCAATCTGAACGCGCCCTTGCATCCCATAAAATAGTAAGATAAAATTTGCCCCGCATGCGCGTTTGTGTTATGTTTATGTTTTAACCAATAATAAAGGCAAATATTGTGAATATTATTGTTGGGAGTTATGGCGAGTTTATCCAACAAATAAAATAAAATAGGAAATAAATTAAAATAAGAATTAAGGGTTAAGAGGTATTATTTTATATGTGATAGTTCTACCAAAAAAATCAAAATAAAAAAAATAAGAGTTAATAATTATCTTTGAATTTTCTTTTTTCTTATTTTACAAAAATGTTAGAATCACGAACACAGTGAATTTTGAAAAGGCAACAAAATCAAAATCAAAGCATCCCATAAATAGTGATGTTATGAGGATAGAATGCGTCTTGGCCGTTCAGATTGGGCGAATCGCCAGGCACACTCGGAGTGCACTCTCTATCGGGTACGCTCTGCACTGGACGTCGCCCAGACTCTTCAATCTGAACGCGCCCAAGTAATTAGGAAAATTATGAAAACCCCTATTCGGAACATAACCTTGAATTTTTTAACGATCGATAGTTGAGTTGATACACAACCCGGTAAATTTGCAGTTCATTTTATTGGGATTGCATTTTTTATTAAATTGTTTAATTAAAGCACAGCCTATATACTTCTAGTTTACAACTTTAATCAATAGATAATGACTACTAAATGGCACAAATTACTTTGCAAGAAAGATCAACTGCAGTTATTGGGTACTTTAAATGGAGGACAAAGTTTTAGGTGAGCAAAACTGCTGTTTGAAGAAATTATCCCATTAGATTCATATATTTTTGTCCTACAATGCTTCGTTACTTGGGTAGATACTTGGTTTGAACTACCCCATGCTTGACTGAGACTCTCCTAGCTGTTTTTTGTTAGGTATTATTTTCGGTATTATTTCCTTTATTAATTTATTAACAACAACAATACCATCATAACACTGTATATAGGCACAGTTTAAATCTAAAAGTTTTTTTCAAAAATAAAAAAGCAATTATTATAAATTCTCAGTTAAACATCAAGCAATCAAAATTTCAAAAATATAACATCTCATGCATTCAACCATCAAAAAACATCAGTTCTTAGCTTTGTTTGGGTTTGAAAAAGGGACGGTTCTAGAACGGTTCGAAACAATCCCACAGTTTATTATTGAAATTTGCGATAGCCGAGCCGTTGTCATTTTGTTGATTGATAAACTGTGCAATTGTTTTGGACCGTTCTAGAACTGTCCTTTTTTCAAATCCAAACAGGCCTATCATTAACAAATTTGAACAGATGTAGGTTATCAATACTTAAGAGTGCGCTTCTCGATGCTGAAAAAATAGATATTTCGCGTTCTTGACTTTGCTGTTTTAATAAAAACAGTTGCATCTAGGGAATTCTAACAAAAACTGTTTTTAAGAATGTACTTTTGTGCTTGCTTGACCAATAATTTTTTTTTGATTTTTCTCATTTTTTGGAAAAAAAAATTTCATAAAAAGCGAAAAATCAAAAAAAATTTACTGGTCAAACACGTGCATAAACATATCCTTGAAAAAAGTTATCGGTTAAAATGTCCTAGATGAAACTGTTTTTATTAAAATAGCAAAGGCGCACTCACGATTTTCAGCATCAAGAAGCGCACTCTTAATAGGTCTAGTTTTTCTGACTGTTTCTGACTGTTTTTAACCAATGAAATTTGCTCTGATTGGTTTATGATTTCTGCAGAAACAGACCTAATATAATCTTCACAATTTTTCTTAAATTATTTATATATAGTTCTCTATATCTTTAATTTTTCTAGGTATTAAGTTGAATATTTTAGGAGCCAAATATGCATTGCGTTTGTATCTACTGTTTGGCATATTTAAGAAATTTGTACTTTCCGTTCTATAACCATGAGACCAGTGATGTCTGTTTTTGTTCTTTTGAAGAGAATTCCATACCGAATAAATATATCTATAATGACTACTTACCTCATTTCAGATTTTAATCATGATCCAAACTCTTTTTATTCTTTCTAGACCCAAAATAAGAGAGTTTTTAGCTCCATCCTAAGAATTTTAAGAAAAAAACAAGGCAGGGTCATCCACACAGGCCAACACTTGTCTCTCAATGTCAACATTGGAGTGTATTTGTGAATGTTGAAAATTGGGAACCCAATACAGTACCTATTTTGTTGTTTAGGCTGACTAAGAACTCGACTAAGAATATCCCGAATTTTGACATACTGGGTATTATTGAGATCCACTAAGTAGTTTTTCAAGACTTCTAACACAGTCCCCCTCACACCATACTTGTCTGAAACTTCTAGAAGTAGTTTAATGGAGACTGTTAAAAGCCTTCACTAAATCCAAAAAGACTGTCCATTTTTTTATACCCTTGTCCAGATTTTCTTTAACTTTTGTCAGTCAGCGTATATTGCATGGACTGTGCTAAAGTTTTCAACAAAGCCAAATTGATTGGAGATATAGCTTGATTTATTTTCAAGAAGTTAAATCTTTCCTTCAAGCACTTTTCATATAACTTATTGTTCTTAATGATACTCATGAGGCGATAATTATTTATTTCCTCCAAATTTCTGGAGTTTTTATAGATAGGTGTAACAAATGAAGTCCCAAAGTACTTGGGACTTGTCCAGTTTCAAAACATACGTTCTCTATATCACACAAGGGATCAACAACTAGAAATACTTACATGTAATTTTTTTAGAACTTCAGTCGATATTCCATCCATGCCTGGACGACAATTTTTTTTCAACAATTTGTTTGTTTTATTAATTCGTTTGGGCTTATTGGTCTCAAAAAGATACAACTTGGTCCTTGTAAGTTGTTGATTGTGTCCTGTGGTGGGGCAATTTTTTCTGACATTTCTGTTATTTTCCTCGTTATTCGTTAACTTTATTTATACTACTACATAATATTATGTCAGATTGCCTGACTAGAACCTGCCTAAAAACATCTTCACAACAAGCAACTGATATGTAGGTGCCCATCATCATAATTTTTATATTGTTCCAGGTGGAAACAAATCCCAGAGAACCAATGGCTAGGCATTTTTTCTAAAAAAGTGTGGATTTTAAAAGAAGCAACTGACGCGATTCTCTATCAAGTACATGCACCCAACTCAACAAAAACATCACCCAAAAAATGTAATGAGGAATTGAGCAACTATTTACATTTAGATGTTGATTTGTCCGAATATTATCCTAAATGGAGTGAGAAGGATCCTAATTTTAAAGATGCAGCTGAACAGTTTTACGGTATCAGGATTTTAAGACAGGATGTTGTTGAGAATATTTTTTCATTTATTTGTTCCCAAAATAATCACATTTCAAGGTAAGATTTTTTTCAAAACTAACAGAACATTACACTAATAACACCTACATAATACAATTCAAGCTGTACTTACTGCTTATTTTCTGAAATTATTATATTAACATAAATAGGTACTACTTCTTGCGTACAGTACATACAGGTCCTTCTGAGAAATAAATACAAAAATGACAAATATAATGACAAAAGCTTTGTTCCAACCGACATGAGAACCATTCCAGAACCAGGAATTTCCAGTTGCCCACCTATTTTCCAATAGGTTCAACGTTAATCCTACTTGACAAATGAGGACGACGTTGTTATTGTTTGCCTAAATGTAAAGAAATCTATGATAGATTATTCGGTCCTAAAGCAAATTTTTGGTATTGGTGAATATACAAATTTGATTGTCTGTTTTAAATATATTCATAACTTTTTGTTCAAAAATGTTAGTGACGTACTGTCAGAATTTATGCGTAGGAACTATAATGCTTCCATTAGGGTGATAGAGAATTTTAGAATGCGAAACAAATTCCGACATAATATTCCTAGTCTTAGTAAGCTTTTATCTTTGTACATAAAAACTAAACCTTTGCAATCTAATGCTATTGTGCCACTAGCTGACAAGAATGATGTAAGCGAAACATTAAATGTGGATTCTGGGTGTGAAAACATAAACATTATTAGTGACCTAAAAATTTCAGAGTCTAATATATCCACCCTAGCAGGAAACAGTGAGATTTCTTTTTTAGAAAATGTACCCACCACTCTGACTGTATCTCCATAGTGGCACTGAATATTCAATCTGTTAGAAATAAACTAAACGAACTTGATATATTTTTGGACAGTCTACAATACCCAAGCATAATATTGTTATGTGAACATTGGCTGAAGCCTCAAGAACCTTTTAATTTAACAAGGTATACTGTTTTAAGTAAATATTGCCGAATAACTTCGATACATGGAGGAACAGCTATTCTACTAAACAATGATTTTATGGAATCTTTTCGTTTTTCTGACATTAATAAATTTGACCATTTGCTTGAAGAAAGAGTCTTTGAGGTTTCAGTCGTATTTTGTAGGCAAGTTAATTTGTATGTTCTATGTTTGTATAGATCTCCCATAGGGAATGTAGAGGATTTTTTATTCAAGCTTGAGACCATTCTAAGCCAATTGAGCTGTAATTCATTAATAGTGCTGGGTGGTGATTTCAATATAAATTTCTTGGCTGCTGATAGGAACACCCAAAGGTTGGTTAATTTATTGGGTTCATTTAATTTGCATGTCATGGTGGATACTCCCACCAGAATAACCCCTAACTCTTCCACTACTATTGATAACATATGCACAAATTTTGAAAGAAATGATAGTAGTGTAAGTGTTGTAAATGCAGGTCTTTCAGATCATGAGGCCATTTTTTGTAGATTTAAGATCAGAACCAGAAGACGTAATGAATTGAAACGAAAGGGACGGATATTCAGTGCAAGAAATTATGATAAGCTCTCTGAATTGTGTGCCTGTGATAACTGGCAAGCAGTTCTTAGTTCCAATAAACCTCTGGAAACTTTTCATGAAAAGTTATCCTCTATATTCAATAAAGCATTTCCAATAAAAAACTTGAAAATAAATAAAAAAAAGCCATGGTTAACAGAGGGCATTAGGATTTCTTCAAAAAATATGCGTTCACTGCATTACATCCGTAAGTTTTATATCAGTAATATTTGTTTCATGACATATTATAAAAATTATAGGGCTATATATCGTAGGTTGGTGAACGCAGCTAAAGATAAGTACTATAGAAAACGAATAATAGAATCCAGTAACAGACAAAAAGAATCCTGGACAATTGTTAATGAGCTAATTGGCAAAAAACGGGAAAATTCAGATGTTGATACCACACTTTCACCTCAGGATTTTAATAATTTTTACTGTTCTGTTGCTAAAAATCTCTCTAGCCAAATTGGCATTGCACACGATTTTAAACATTTTTTCAAATATTCATCAACAGGCGAATCATTTTTTTTTGTGCCTACGGATGTAAACGAAGTTAAGTTTACATTTAATGAAATTAAAAATAAGAATGCTTCGGGGTGGGATGATATATCTGTCAAATTATTCAGGAAGTTACCTGACAATGTTTTAAACATATTAGTTTATGCTATCAATAATTCTTTCCAAAATGGGTTTTTTCCGAACTGTCTAAAAAGGGCCTATATAATCCCAATATTTAAAGCGGGCGATAAGCAAAATCCCTCAAACTATAGACCTATAGCCCTGTTGCCGACTCTATCAAAAATTGTAGAGAAACTAGTAAAAAAAAGAATCGTTTCATTTTTGAATGAAAAAAAGATTCTTAGTCCCGAACAATATGGATTTCGAGCTTCCAGGGGGACTTCCGATGCAATATTTGCATTCCTCGAGGAACTTTTCTTGAGACTGAATGACAATGACGTTGCCGCAGCGGTGTTCTGTGATCTCACGAAAGCTTTTGATTGTGTCAGTCACAGAATATTGCTGTGGAAACTGCAGTCCTATGGATTTAGGGGATCCTCTTATAAATGGTTTGAGAGTTATTTGCAGGATAGGACTCAAAGTGTTCGCTTTGGAGGTGATGTTTCTGGACAGAGAACATTACAGTATGGGGTGCCTCAAGGGTCTGTTCTTGGTCCAATATTGTTTTTAATTTATGTTAATGATATAACTGATCTTGGCATCTCAGGGAAATTTACATTGTTTGCGGATGATGCAACTATATTATGGCACGACACTAGTATGGGTTTCTTGAGTGACAAAATAAATAGGGACATAGTTGCTCTCAAGCAGTGGTTTGACGCTAATCAGTTAACACTGAATATATCGAAAACTAATGTCATGCATTTTAGGTGCACACTTGAACCTATCAAACTTGATGACATTTCCTTGTCGAGCACCAATGAGAATAAATTTCTAGGGCTTCTCATTGATAGCAGACTTAAATTCCAATCACACATAGAAAATCTTAGGAAAAAACTTGCTTCCAACTGCTTTGCAATGAGAGTTCTCTCTGGAGAGCTTGATTCACAGACCGTGAGAAATGTATATTTCTCACTCATAGAAAGTCACTTAAGATATGGACTGTGTTTTTGGGGTACATGTTCTGCGCAGTTGTTTGATAGTGTGTTTGTGCTGCAAAAAAGAGCCATAAGGTATTTGAGTGGAGCTAAAATGAGAGATTCATGTAAACCTTTGTTCATAAGACATAAAATTTTAACACTTCCCAGTCTATTTATTTTAGAGACAGTTTGCCTAGTTCATAAAAAATATAGAAATAGCTTGCATGCAACAGGTTTGTATAACACGAGGCAAACTTATAATATAATACTGCCAATACCATCCTCGACACAAATTAAAAATTCTATTATATACAATAGTCGGAAATTATTTAATCACTTACCTGTGGAAATAAGACAAGTGGAAAGCAACAAAATATTTAAAGGGATGGTGAAAAGGTTACTAATTGGGAGGGCTTATTATAACTGTACTGAGTTTTGGAATGATAGATTTTGACTGTATCAATTGATTGGCTCTGCCAATATCATTATTATTATTATTTTTATTTTTATTTTCATGATTTGACTTTTGTAATTTGTGCTTATTGTTTTATTCCTGTAGCGCACGTATAATGTATATATATATATTTTTTACCGTCATTTTAATTTAATTTGTGTGACATAATTATGTGACTACTTCTAAGTTTTATTTTTATTTTGTTTTTGCCTCAGTTTTTACAATTCTTTGTGTTGGTTTCGATTGTTGTGGATCATTTTTTGGAATTTTTATCCTTTTTATGATAGATAGATAATAGATAATTTTAATTGTTTTATTAGGTTTAAGGCCTGCTTTGTCTATGACATTATTTGTTTTTTTGACAATAAAGCTTATTTGATTTGATTTGATTTGAGGTGATCGACTGGAAATTACTGTTCTAGAATGGTTCTCATGGCAGATGCTAATATGATTTGAAAGTTACATAATATGTATAGTTTAAAGAGTTGGTAGGTTGAGGGTTAATAAAGCAAAAAGACAACTGTTTTTTCTTTTGCCAATTTGTCATCAGCACTCTGTAAATGCCAAAGAAAATACCTCCATGAATACCCTGTTTTGAGATAGAACACCAATGAAAAAATCATAGTGAAGGTGGGACTCCTCTATCTATGCAAAAAAAAGCGACTGCTGTTCAACCTACTTATAACTGCCTTGGCCTGACTTGGCTGACACTTTTTATACAAGTTTGCTTATCCTGCAAATTTCTAGATAATTCCCTTCTAAATATATAGGAATTTCTGATGAACATCAATTACATCCCGATTAAATTTCATTCTTGAAACTTCTGGGGGACATCAGGTATACAAACAAGTTGGGTTTAATTTTAATTGACATAAATAAACATTACCAAAAAATATTTTTATTTTTTGTGCGCTTCCTATTTTATTGCGCTTTTGCAGTATCAATATAAGTGTATTGTTTTTTTCAGGATTACCAGTATGGTGGAAAAACTAGCTGAATACTATGGTGAAAAAATTTGCGATATTAATGGCATAACGTATTACAGTTTTCCTGACGTAGAAAAGTTAGCAGCTGATGGAGTAGAGCAACACCTACGAAACAACGGTTTTGGATATCGAGCAAAATACATCAGTAATTCTGCAAAGTTAATTGCTGATGGGGGCGGAAACAAATGGATCAATGAATTACAGGAAATGAAATATGAGGACGCCAAGAAAAACTTGATGACTTTAATGGGTATTGGTGCCAAGGTAAGACAATCTAAATAGATGTGTGCCATAATAAACTGTGTTTTTTTAAGGTGGCTGATTGTATCTGTTTAATGTCTCTGGGTCATTTGCAAGCAATTCCAGTAGATACGCATATTTATCAAATAGCTGCTAGACTTTACATGCCTAAACTGGGAAAACAAAAAACTGTTACAGAAAAAATTTATAACGAAATTGGTGAATTTTTTAGAGATTTGTATGGTCCTTTGGCAGGGTGGGCTCATACTGTATTATTTTGTGCAGATCTAAAAAAGTTTCAAGATAATAAAGTAGAGACTGCAAAGACATCAAAACATAAAAAACAGGATAGCAAAACAAAGATAAACTCAAAAAAACTGAAAACATGATTTTTCAATCAATCATTGTAAGAAAAAAAAAAATTTAAATTAAGTATAGGGTTTATTTTTAATTAAACAATATTTTTATGTGATTTAGTCTTTTTTTTGATGATTCAAAGACAAAAAATAACCCCACTGTACTTGCACTACAACTCGAATTATGTTCTATACCTACAACCACAATAATAAACTTATTGAACTATAGACTGGCAAATAATATCCCTGTTCCTATTACTTATTCCAGTTACGGCCAATTTCATAATCAACTTAAAGTAAACCTTAGATTTAAAGCTCCATTTGAAGTTGAAAAATCCTATCCTAAAAGTCTATTTAGCTAAAGTAACTTTTAATTCTCTATTATGAAATTGGCCGTTATTTGGTTAATGGTTAAGAATTCCTTTATTTATAATGGAATCAAGATTTTCAGTCACATTTCCTTAAAACTTGGAAGTGCAGTTGATATTAAGCAATTTCGCGAAAAAAAGCATTTTGCTCAACAGACGAATTTTTCCAAACTTTTATCACTATTTTAATTTTAGTTAGCTACCAACTGAAATCAGCATTGATCATGCTTGTAGACAGTATATTTTTATAGATGATGTGTATAAATATATTATATATGTACTATTTAACAATTACATGTATCCTATGATATCATATAACTCACGTTCTCACTTACCAGTTGAACAGGCGCAAAAAAAAAATCAATCCGACAAACCTACCCTCCATCAGCCTCGGCCAAAAAAATCCTGAATATTCTTAAAAAAGACTGCACATCATGCCTGCGTAACTAAAAAGAGTGACTGGGAAATCTGTTTAAATAATAATTCAAATTTGTAGATATGAAACCAATCATATAACCTGGCCTTTCCAGCAGCTTGTAAAGTCCGTCGATTTTTATCTGATACTCGAAAGGAATGTGAGCTGGTGGCACCCTACATTAGAACGCCAATGGTCACCTGACGTCACACCTGTTTTTGCCATATATTTCCCCCGCTCGTTCCTCATACGGAAACTGTCAGATAAAAATCGACGAACAATATGGACCTTTAAAAGGATGGTCTTGAACAAAAAAAACATCATTGTTTCAAAAATCACTTTATTTCAAAAAATAGGCATCCATTTTTAATTTTTATCACAATAAATATTTGCATGATACTCAGTCTTTTTGGATTGATCAATAGTTACATAACGCAGTCGCTAACGATCAAGCGTCATAACTAAATCAAGATATTTATATTTTAGAGTAAAGGGCCCCACACACTACGCACCGTCGTGGTTTCATCGTCGGTTTAAAATTGAGTCCGAGCTTGATTTTTGGCACGACGGTTCAACATTTCGTTCCAAAGCCGCTGTATGTGGGTCCAGCCGCCAAAAAATCGCGTAGTGTGTGTGGAAAACAGGCTGACGAAACACGACGTTGTTAATCGCGACGATGAAACCGGCGATACAGAACGTAGTGTGTGGGGCCCTTTAAACGAGAAGTGAAAAGTCGCAATCTGAAAAAATTGATATACATATAATATTCCTATTGAATTGGGAATTATATAAGAAATCTAAAGGAAAATTGTACCATTGAATATTATTGAATATATTCAACTCATTATTAGGTCTATGAAAAAAAAATCCTCAAAAAATCCTAATTGAGATGGGAAGTTTTCCCAGTGGGGCGCGTTAAAATAGAATAGAATAGGAAAATCTTTTTCTGAAACTTATGCCAAGATTACAGTAGGTACCAACGTAAATTTCACTGGGTTCTCTCTTTATCTTGACCAATAGGAACTAACACGTCAGAAGAGTCTGCGAAATTATCTTTTAAATTACACAAACCGCTCAGTGATTTCTTTTTTAGTTCGCGTAATATTGTAATCCAAAGTTAAACTTAAAGTTTCCTGGTTCCGCTTCAGCAGTTTAGTTTGAAAACTGAGCAAGCAAAATAGTTTTGTATTCTGTCATAGGAACTATAAATATTTTAATCACAACCAACAACGGTACACACTTGCACACACAGATAACCACCCTCTTGGTACATTGTGTCCCAGAACCATTTATTGTGTATTAGGTACTTATATGCATTTATTTTGCATTTGGTCAAATTCTGAATGGCAACGTCGCCGAATGACGTTAACAAATTATTTTTATTGTATCACATACATATTCTGCATTATGAGTCGACATATTTGTATGCAAACTATTGATATAAAATATACCGGGTGTCTACGAGATCAGTTTCGCGCTGGCATTTGCTGTTTTTTTTTTCGATGGCAAAGATTTTTGGTATGGAGTGTAGGTTTGAGAAATGTCATCTTTTGACATGTGTGTCAATGTTTGGTAACTTCCGGTTTGACCGGAAATGGTCCTAACTCCGTAATTTTGAATGGCATCCCAATCATTTTTTCGCATTTTTGGTACCTGCGGATCATGATGTGTACGAAAACGTCAAATTTGAACATTTTTGAAGAAATTTTAGAACTCTGGATGGATAAACATGTCTTGCCCACACCACAGATCTTGTCAATGGCTTGTCAAGAAAAAAAATACCAGCTCCGTTTGGAAAGCGTTCTTCATACAGGGGTTCATTTATAAGTAGTTTTATCATTTATAGTAATGCATAGTAAAAATATTGGAAAAATAACTAAAAACTGGCATGAATAAAAAGTTTTAATGCATAGTTGGTTCTATTTTGAAAAAGGTAAAAAACTCTTGTTGTGAAAGTTGGGTGATTTCACAGATTTCATTGAGTTATCGCGCAAAATGTGATTTTTTAAACTTTGGATGCCTTCGGAGAGCAAGCAAAGGATAACATCTTGGCACTCGCATTTTTCTACGATTGTGTGGGTTGAAAATAACAATTTTAAGACCGCTCCGTCACTTTCTGTTCAAAAATAAATTTTCATCCAGAGTTCTAAAATTTCTTCAAAAATGTTCAAATTTGACGTTTTCGTACACATCATGATACGCAGATACCAAAAATGCGAAAAAATTATTGGGATGCCATTCAAAATTACGGAGGACCATTTTCGGTCAAACCGGAAGTTACCAAACATTGACACACATGTCAAAAGATGACATTTCTCAAACCTACACTCCATACCAAAAATCTTTGCCATCGAAAAAAAAAACAGCAAATGCCAGCGCGAAACTGATCTCGTAGACACCCGGTATATAGTTCGTTTCACGAGGGTTTGTACTTACGTCATCATTTGCCTTCCTTTTTTAACAAATAAAAATTGACTGACACAAATTAATGACGTTAAAAACATTCGTTGGTTCCTAAAACCATAAGTCATTTAAAAAGGCGAAAGATTTGTTCGCTTTGCAGAGAGTCCAGGCTGCTGACGTACGTACAAACCTTCGTGAAATGGACTATTAATTTTAAATATACAGAAATTATTATGATAAAAAAACAATACATTGACTTGTCAACACTGGTTGGGAGTTTGCCGCTTGACCCCCGTGCTTGATCCCATTTAATGTGAATAATGAAGTCTATTTATTTTTTCAAGTCAAAGCTTGAAACTGTGAGCTCACATACCTTTTTTAAGGTATAGCACTCAACTGAAATTAGCCTTGACAAGTCATTTAAAGACAAGGACCTTCTGGTGATATCCTTGCGGGTTGGCTTTGGAATTATTTCCTTTTGGCCTTGTAACGCGTTACTGTAACTTCTTTACTTTGAAAGTAACTTCTTTACTTTAAAAATAGTTCGTTACTTTTAAAGTAACGCGTTACTTCAAAAATAACTATTTACGTCGAAAATTGCGTTATTCCCTAATTAGACTCACCAACACAGCAGTCCAAACAATCAAATAAGACCTATACAAAATGCCAATATGTTTTTAGTTTGTGATTCCGACTATGTGGAAGAGTATTCTTGCAAAATTCAAACGGATTAAGGATTAAGCGACTGAATAGAGCACTTGGTTTTGGACAAACCTCTCTTTGAAGCGTCCCAGTGTCTGCATTTAGTGTCTTTAGAGCAGAGGCGGCGCGTGGCACGCCCAAAAACGATTATTTTGAGCTTTCAAAACAAACTTTCTGTACTACCAACATTTTATTTGACATACAAAGTTTTTGGATTACTTATTTTCCTTTTCCTCACTCGTCAATTATTTGTAAAGCAGATAAACAAATTGAGAGAACGAGTTACTTTCATAGTAACTAGTAACGCGTTACTTCCAGCGTTACTTCAGGAAAGTAACGTCGTTACAGTTACTTATCAATCAATCTGAAAAGTAACGAAGTTACCAAGTAACGCGTTACTTTCAGTAACTCGTTAAAGTAAAGTAACTTTTTTTTGTCGTTACTCCCAGCTCTGTATCCGCACTTCATATTTTCATAAAATATGTAACCCCGCATTCAAAAATCTCCCTACTCAAGTTCAATGTAACTCTGTGTATCAGACTCGTAGTACATCTAATGAGGTATTGTCAACTTCCAAATTTGCAAATAACATTTCCCATAGATTCTTCATTAGGTATACTGTCCCTAAATCTTCCAATACATTGCTAAATGAGATCAGGAGAATACAAAAATATAAAACCTTTGCAGGTATCAAAAGAATATATTTTTCATAACTTGATAGCATTTAATAGAATTTTGAATGAGTAAATTTCCGCCGCTCATCAGTACCAAGTTCGTTTCCAATGTTTCTCAAAAAATCTTTATGTAAGTTGATGTTGAATCTACCAACTCCAACATACTTTGACCAGAAGGCATTTTTATCTGATCCTTTTTCTCTGGCGACTCGGTTACTAAGAATGGCTTAAGTCTCTGTTTATTGGTGGCGATTTCCTTTACTATGATGGATGCGTTTTCAAATATAGGTTTTTATTGTTTCCTCCGATGCTGCTCTCAACTATTGGTATAAAGTCAGTCTCGTCTATCGCCGCCCTCGAAATTAGGTTCTGTTCTTACCGGCTTCCAAGTTCAGAATTTTTTCGTTTAGCAAATGCATTGTTGTGCATTAGGATATTGTGCCTATCAGTTCTCTTAGCATGTTTTTCAAATATTTGATTTTCATGGCCATTTTTTCCATTTCACCTTAATGGACCCTCTTATTGTCGTCGGTGATGGCTGCTACAATTATGGATTGCACACAGCACTCAATTTTTGTGTTATCGATAAATTTTCGCATGTGGTATATTCAGCAACAATTTATGCATA